TTTATAGTTAGAAAAATGTGATGAACTTGCCTTAAGTAAGTTATTAGTTCCCACCTGTTGTACAGCTGTTGTTTGCCTTTGGAAAAAAAAAGACCTAGGGACTTGCATTATATTACAAGTTATGTGTGCAGAGCCTGTGTTGCATTTATTATTTTTTTTTAAACTATGAGTTAAATATATCTCATTTACCTTTAAAAAAACCCCCACAACTAGCAGTCCATCAGTGTTGCTATTGCATGGTGTCATATACCTGGTGTACTGTGAGGAGAGGAAAGGGTTTAGGAAGGCAGAGGTAGATGTACTGCTTCCTCTGCTTATTAAAATACCACAGAAATCCATGACATAGCTAACAGATCATGGGCAATTAAAAAAATAAACACCGGGACAAATGAATGGCAGTAAAATCCATTGGGGCTTATTAGACACAAATAATAGTATTTTTGGCTCTGGAAGGCAAAAACATGAGCTGTAGATTCCCTAGTGTCCTGACACCAGATTGCTAGAATACATGGCTGTATGCTTGTCCTGGTTGTGTATTGTTACTTGATATACCTGCTGTTGTAGAGCCAAGTTATGGAATAGATGCATATTGGGCTGATTACTGGAATAAATACACCCTTGATCTTACTCAGCATAGACCTTTGTGTGTCCTTAGGCCTAGCAGGATATGGTCATGCTTCCAAGTAGGTGGGCTGCAAACTGTGACTTCCTCTCCATAACTCATGGTTTTGGAGGCTCTTTTGTATTAGACTGGTAGGGAAATGCCCCTCCTTTTTGTTCTTCTCCTTTTCTTTTTTCTTGTTTTCTTTGTGCTGCTCTCCTCATGAATGCAAAAGCAATTTTGAAAGGGAGAAGTGACTGTGAGCAGGTGCAGTATTTCCTTCCTGGGATGTGGGCCTATGGCAGCTTAAGGTGACCCCATCTCCAGATGGACAGGGAAGTGTTCAGTGTTGATCCAGATCTGCTTCCTGAACCATCTCACCCCCTCCCTGCTAGGATACTCACAATGGTAGGGCTCAGGAGACTGAGGCCTGGGTGTCGTAGGCCTCTGGTGCCTTTTATTCCAGGAAGTTTTCCCCACTTCGTCAGTTGGAGGAAACTCTAGAAAACGTTTCTGGGTTTTGTCTAAGAGCACTTGTGTTTACCGTATCCAAGAGGTGGACTAAGGTTTATTTGAACAAGCTGTTTCTGTTTGGTGCTGATGTAGTTTTCTGCTCTGATCCATTTTCTATGGGTGTTGTGTTCTTGAGAAGCAGCTGAGGGAACTGGGAGTGTTCAGCCTGGAGAAAGGGAGGCTGAGGGGAGACCTTCTGGCTCTCTGCCCGAGAAGAGGTTGGAATGAGGGGGGGCATCAGTCTATTTTCTCAAGGAATAAGCAGTAGGATGAGAGGAAATGTTGCACCAGGGGAGGTTTAGATTGGCTATTAGGAGAAATTTCTTTGATGAAAGATGGAGGAAACTCTAGAAAACGTTTCTGGGTTTTGTCTAAGAGCACTTGTGTTTACCGTATCCAAGAGGTGGACTAAGGTTTATTTGAACAAGCTGTTTCTGTTTGGTGCTGATGTAGTTTTCTGCTCTGATCCATTTTCTATGGGTGTTGTGTTCTTGAGAAGCAGCTGAGGGAACTGGGAGTGTTCAGCCTGGAGAAAGGGAGGCTGAGGGGAGACCTTCTGGCTCTCTGCCCGAGAAGAGGTTGGAATGAGGGGGGGCATCAGTCTATTTTCTCAAGGAATAAGCAGTAGGATGAGAGGAAATGTTGCACCAGGGGAGGTTTAGATTGGCTATTAGGAGAAATTTCTTCACTGAAAGGGTTGTCAGGCACTGAAACAGGCTGCCCAGGGAAGTGGGGAAGTCACCATCCCCAGAGAT